AGCTCAGGCTGGTCTCAAACCTGTGAGCTCAGGCAATCCACCTGCCTTGGCCTCCCAAAGACCTGGGGTTGCAGGTATGAGTCACTGCGTCTGGCCACAAGACAGCTCTTATACGTATAAAAAAGCCTCCTTCCTTATTTACCTCTTTTTTCTCTGTATCCTGACAGCCCCAGGGTGGGGAATATATTCCTTTGGTTTAAAAAACAATCATGGTTCATCAGATCAAAGAAGTCATTGTTTGTAAGATAGGCCACTATTCAATTATTTTCTGTTCCACAAAGGAAGAAAAAAACATTTCCAATTAAATTATGACACACCAGCAATCAGATAATCCCAATTTCTAATATGTTAAAATGAAAAGTATACATATTTTAGACTAGATGAATAAAGTACACCATCTCTCAGAACAACGGTCTCTTTGTCTAAGAAAACCGTACCATCAATGGCAGAAAGAAGTGTTCTTAACACAGGGCCAGAGAACCATGCCATACCCGACTTTTCTGAAAAATTACCATACTCCCATCTATTCCTCCTAGGGAAATTAACAATATACACAGATTCACCTCTTATATCTTTCCTCCCAGAAATGAAGTTCTGGGATAGAAAGGTAGATCACTTCTGTTGGGAAAACTTGGAAAAAGGGGACCCAGGGTTGGGAGTAGGATAGAGTGCCCAGCAGGGCACTCTCAATGCCCTGATAATATAATGGTGAGCGTTACATTCTGGTTTACTTCTGTTTCTGTCTTCTCATTATTCTTTCCAACTGCTCCGTGGGAAATGTGCTGCTATTGCCCTCCTCTGCTCCGTCCAGAAGTTGAGGGGTTGCTAGGCACAGGGGGTGGGGGCTCATGCCTGTAATCCCAGCACTCTGGGAGACCGAGGGGGATAGATTCATTGAGCTCAGTAGTTTGAGACCAGCCTAAGCAAGAGTGAGACCCTGTCTCTACTAAAATAGAAAACTAGCTGGGCATGGTGGTGGGCACCTGTAGTCTCAGCTATTCGGGAGGCTGAGGCAGGAGGATTGCTTGAACCCAGGAATTTGAGGTTGCTGGGAGCTACAATGATACCATGGCATTTTACCCAGGGTGACAGAATGAAACCCCAAAAAGGTTATGGGGTGAAGTAACTTGTGTAAGGTCATAGAAGTGGCTCAACAGGGGCTTAAAGGCAGTTGACTTCTTACTGTAACCAGGTCTCATTCATGTTTTAACATATTCAAATGAGTTAAATTTTTTATTTTATTTTATTATTATTAATTTTTGAGACGGTATTTCAAATTGTATATAGCAACAGCACTCTGTACCCCATGATAGCATTAATGTACACAGATGTGATTTAATAAAAACAAAAAACAAACAAAAATTTTTTGAGACAGAGTCTTTGTCACCCTCTGTAGAGTACAGTGGCATCATAGCTCACAGCAACCTCAAACTCTTGGGCTCAAGTAATCCTCTTGCCTCAGCCTCCCAAGTGGTTGGGACTACAGGTGCCCAACACAACAGCCGACTATTTTTAGAGGTGGGGATCTCGTTCTTGCTTAGGCTGGTCTTGAACTCCTGAGCTCAGGCAATCCATCTAACTCAGCCTCCCAGAGTGCTAGGATTATAGATATGAGCCATCATGCCTGGCAAAAAGGGTATGTTTTATGTTCTATATTTTCAACATATAAAATTTACCTTTTTTTACTTTTATTTATTTTTATTTTTAGAGACAAGCTCGCTGCAACTCCAAACTTCTGGGCTCAAGGGCTCCTCTTGCCTCTGGTATAGCTGGGATTACAGGCATGCCAGCATGCCTGGCTATTTTCTTTTTAATTTTTGTAGAGATAGGGTCATACTATGTGGCTCAGGTTGGTATCTCAAATTCTTGGCCCCAATTGATTCTCTCCTGCATCTGCTTCTCCAAGTGCTGGGATTAAAGGTATGAGTCATCCACCTGGCCCCGTCCAAATCATTTTAATTTTATTTTATTTGTTTATTTTTATTTTATTTTTATTTTTATTTTTTGAGACAGAGTCTCACTATGTTGTCCTTGGTAGAGTGCAATGACATCACAGCTCACAGCAACTTCAAACTGTTGGGCTTACGTGACTCTTTTGCCTCAGCCTTCCAGGTAGCTGGGACTATAGGCTCCTGCCACAATGGCTGGCTGTTATTGTTGTTGCAGTTGTCATTGTTGTTTTAGCTGGCCTTGGCTGGGTTTGAACCTCCTAGCCTTGGTATATGTGGCTGACACCCTATCCACTGAGCTATAGGCGCCACCCTATTTTATGTTTTTTAATTTAATTTTAATTTTATTTGTTTATTTTTTTGAGACAGAGTCTACCTATATCACCCTTGGTAGAGTGCTGTGGCATCACAGCTCACAGCAACCTTAAACTGTTGGGCTTAAGTGACTCTTTTGCTTCAGCCTCCCAGGAAGCTGGGACTACAGGCATCCTCCACAATGCCTGGCTATTTTTTGTTGCAGTTTTAATTGTTGTTTAGCAGGCCCAGGCCAGGTTCAAACCCACTAGCCCCTGTGTATGTGGCCAGTACTCTAACCACTGACGTGCGGGCACCAAACCCCAAATCATTTTTAAATGCACAGTTCAGTAGTGTTAAGTACATTCCCACAGTTTTACAGACAACCTCCACAACTCTTCATCTTTCAAAACTGAAACTCTGTGCCTATTAAACAGCAACTCTACATTGCTGCCTCCCCCAGCCCCTGGTAGCTTTCTGTCTGTACAGATTTGACTACTCTGGGTAGTTCATGTTAGTAGAATCATAGTATTTGTCTTTTTGTGACTGGCTTATTATAGTTAGTATAATGTCATAAAGGCTCGTCTGTGTTGTAGCATGTGACAGAATTTTTAATTTTATTGACTATTTTTCCTTGTCATTTCTATCTTATTTGATTATTTCTCAGATGTTTCTATTCCTTTCTTTCCTGTAATGTTTTATTTTTTGTTATTGGTGCTTAGTCTCCTTTTTTCTTTGCCATTTAAGAGTGTGCTATACAACATGGTAACTATAGTTAATAACAATCTGTATTACATGCTTGAGATTTGCAAAGAGTGTAGATTTTAAGTGTTCTCACCACAAAAAATAATACGAGGTAATACATACATTAATTAGCTCAATTTAGCCATTTCACAATGTATACATATTTAAAAACATGTACACAATAAATATAATTTTTGTGGTGGCACCTGTGCTCAGTGTGGGTAGGGCGCCAGCACCATATACTGAGGGTGGCGGGTTTGAACTCTGCCCTGGCCAAACTGCAACAAAAAATAGTCAGGCATTGTGGCAGGTGCCTGTAGTCCCAGCTACTTGGGAGGTTGAGGCAAGAGAATCACCTAAACCCAAGAGTTGGAGGTTACTGTGACACCACAGCATTCTACTGAGGGTGATAAAGGGAGACTGTCTCTAAAAAAAAAAAAAAAAAAAAAAAAAATGAGAGAGAGAGAGAGAATAAAACAAGGAAAAACATTAAGAATATACTATTAGTTTGTTTCAGAGACTATTATTTAGTTTGTTGTGTTTGCTGATTCCTGTTAATAGTGAATTAGTTCTGTGTATGTTTTGTTATTACTATCATTATTTATTTTAAGTTCAGTGGGGATTTTTTTGTGTCTATGAATTCCAATTAGCCTGAATTGAGAAAGAGTCTCTTCATGGTGGATTTGTATTGATTATTTTTAGGTACTCTGAGGGAATCACCAGCCCAGGAAAAATATTTCTGTTTATTTCTTGGCTTGGCAATTCCCATGTCATGAGTGTATATGCATTTAGATATTTAGATTTTAAATCTATGTGTGGCTTAGTTTCGACTCCTTCCCAGTGTGGGGCTAAGATTTCATCCTTCATCCTTCCCCTCATCTTTTTCTCCCCAACCTCCTCCCAGTGCCCAGTGAAATAAAGGCCCTCAGCTTTTGTTCTTGTGAGCTCAGCTGAGTATCTTACTCTGTTATGTGTTGCTATTAAGGAATACCTGAGGCTAGATAATTTATAAGGAAAAAAAGGGTTTATTTGGATCCTGATGGCTAGAGGGTTTGAGATGGGGCCTCTGTGGCTTGGCGCCTGTAGCTCAAGTGGCTAAGGTATCAGCCACATAGACCAGAGTTGATGGGTTCAAATCCAGCCTGGGCCTGCCAAACAACAATGACAACTACAGCCAAAAAATAGCTGAGCGTTGTGGTGGGTGCCTGTAGTTCCAGCTATTTGGGAGGCTGAGGCAAGAGACTTGCTTAAGCCTAGGAGTTGGAGGTTGCTGTGAGCTGTGATGCCATAGCACTCTAGCCAGGGTGACAGCTTAAGGCACTGTCTCCAAAAAAAAAAAAAAATATATATATATATATATATATATGGCCTCTGTGTCTGGTGAGGGCCTCAGGCTGCTTTCGGTCCTGGCAGGAGGCAGAAGGGGAGCCAGTGTGTGCAGAGATCACAAGGTGAGAGAGGAAGCGGGGGGGGGGGCGGGTATCAGGCTCTTCCAACAACCAGCTCTCTAGTAGGATGTGAATTCACTCCTGTGGCAGGGCACTGATCTATTCATAAACAACCCACCTCCATAACCCAAACACCTCCTATTAGGCCCTACCTTCCAATATTGCCACACTGCAGATTGAATTTCAACATGAGATTTGGTGGGGACAAACATCTAAATCATACTAGTATCTAGCAAAAAAAATTTTTTTGCAGTATCCATTTCCATTTATTTTTAGTTGTCATGTTACCAGTTCTAGAAGTTTCATCTTGTTCAAGCTTTGAGGAATAAAAAAATTTGTGATAATTTTATGTAAACATTAGAAGGAAAATGGAAAAGTAGTTGCATAATAGTCACAATTATTAATTTAAGATAGTGAAACATGTTTAGTAATTTCTCCTTATCCAATGTCTTCCTTACTGTACTATTTTAGTAAAAAGACATAATATGAAAAACAGCTTTTGTAACTTCTTCTGTGACTGTGCCCCTATATTTTTCCCAAGAGATCTCAAGTTCTCCAACTATGGCTAGTTCTTTGAGGGGTAGTTTCCAGCCTTGTTTGGTTTCTTCCTGTGTCCAGGCTGCAGCCCAGAAACAAAGTGTCTTGTGTGCTTCTCATCCCTGCAAGATGGAAGAATCACATGACCAGAAAGTGTCACTTTGGAAAAGGCCCCAGTGTGAGCAGGCCCATTGTTTAGTTGGTTCCTGCTTATAGCATCAGGTGTAGCTAAAATCTACCTGGGAGGCTAAATGAGAGACCTAAAGGCCCACGGCCCTTAATTTTATAAAATTAATCTTCCCTTCCTCAACTCAGTGAGGACACAGACAACAGTAAAGAGGTGATGGTTCTGAGGCATTGTAAAAACCTTGTTTTAACTTTCTTTTTTCTTTGTTTCATAATGTGTGAGTGGCACCTAGCTTCTTATATCTAAACCCTGAACCTAACATCTTTTTTTTCTTTTTTAGGATTATTTTCTTTGTTATTTTGGATTATTTTACCTCTGTCACTAGCTATTTCCTTTGTTGATTCTCCTTTTCCTTTTTTCTCTACAAAAGCCAAAGCTATTATGCAAAATCTTAAAGGACCCATTATGGGGTCCTTTGATAAAGCAGTTTTATGCAGCAACAATAATTTGGGTCCTTTAATAATCTGAGTTAATGTTGAGATGGAGCAAGGTGAACTTGGAGAGAAGTCTGATTAATTTGTCCTGTAGGTCAGTGATTTGCAACCATTTTTCCCCAGGGTTTGCCACGGCTATAGTCCACATAGAGCACAGACTGTGGGTTGCACTTCAGACACCCTGTTGAGAATCGCTGCTTTTCACATATTAGATAACTAAAGGAACCTCAGTCATGTCAGAGTTGAACACTCCAAGGAGTGTCTTAAGTGCTGATAATTCAGTTTCTGGACTGAGGTAGCTCACTGTACTTCAGATGATGCCTGTGACCATTTTGTCAAAGATATAGAAGTCGGGCTTGGGTCTTCATTCATCTTGGTTTGGTTGTAAATGCACCAATTAGGAATCTTTATTGTGAGTGGCTAAAACCCCCAAATTAGCTTAAACAGACTAAAGAGAGAGAGAGAGAGAGAGCGCGCGCGAGTGAGCGCGAAAGGAATTCACTGGCTCTTGTAACTTAAAAGAGTGCAGATAGACCAGCTTCAGGTGAGACTTGATTTAGGGCACAAATAAGGCTCGAGGCTGCACCTCTTGTCTTTCCTTCTCTGTGTTGTCTCCTGTGTAACGGCCCCTGGAGGCTTCAGCTTCCCATCTTTTTTTTGAAACAGAATCTCACTCTGTTGCCCAGACTAGAGTGCCATGGTGTCAATCTAGCTCACAGCAACCTCAAACTCTTAGGTTCTAGAGATGTTCCTGCCTCAGCCTCCCAAGTAGCTGGGATTACAGGTATCTGTCACAATGCCCAGCTAGTTTTTCTATTTGTAGTAGTGATGGGGTCTCATTCTTACTCAGGCTGGTCTCGAACTCCTGAGCTAAAGGGATCCTCCTGCCTTAGCCTCTCAGAGAGCTAGGATTACAGGTATGAGCCTGGATGAATTCCTATCTTTTTTTTTGAGACAGAACCTCAAGCTGTCCCCCTGGGCAGAGTACCGTGGCATTACAGCTCACAGCAACCTCTAACTCCTGGGCTCAAGCGAGTCTCCTGCCTCCGCCTCCCAAGTAGCTGAGACCACAGGCGCCCGCCACAACGCCCGGCTATTTTTTGGTTGTAGCCGTCATTGTTGTTTGGTGGGTCCGGGCTGGGGATTCGAACCCGCCACCTTAGGTGTACGTGGCTGGCGCCTTAGCCGGTTGAGCTATAGGCGCCGAGCCTGAATTCCTATCTTTTTGATAAACAACTTATGTAGGATGACAGGAAATATTTCCCATGTGCCTCACATACCTGGCTCTCCTCACCTGAGGAAATCCCTATGATCAAGAGAGCAGTGTGCTGCCACGTGCACAGAGGGAAAAGAAACCAAGTGGGTGGGGGAGGGAAGAACAATGAACACTGTCTGGGTGACAGGCACTCTTATAACTATGACTCAAGCAGGAAAAACATTCGCACCCCTGTAATATTTTGAAATAAAAAACTCATATATATGCAATATGCTCTTGTGTGAACATATAATTTTTATGTACATATGTGGATATTTAAATGTATGTAAATAATAATGACATAAAGTTAAAACATGTGTATAACAGCAATAACAAAAAGGAGTAGGGAGTTACGCTTCACCTCCCTAAGGAGGGAATATCTACATAAATTATTTGGTATTTTGCATAGGAGATTGGTCTTTCTCCCTATGTTCTTATTTATTCAATAATTTATTTGTTTATTTATTTATTTATTAATTTATTTAATTTTTTGAGACAGAGCCTCAAGCTGTCACCCTGGGTAGAGTGCCGTGGCATCACAGCTCACAGCAACCTCCAACTCCTGGGCTCAAGCGAGTCTCCTGCCTCTGCCTCCCAAGTAGCTGGGACCACAGGTGCCCGCCACAACGCCAGGCTGGTTTTTGGTTGCAGCCATTATTGTTGTTTGGCGGGCCCAGGTTGGATTTGAACTCACCACCTTAGGTGTATATGGCTGGTGCCTTAGCCACTTGAGCCACAGGCACTGAGTCTATTTGTCTATTTTTTGTTGCAGTTTTTGGCTGGGGCTGGGTTCGAACCTGCCACCTCTGGAATATGGGGCTGGTGCCGTATGCCTTGAGCCACAGGTGCCACCCCAATAATTGATTTGTTAAAAAAAAAAAAAAGAAGCATGCTGGGCCGAATCCCTTGCAGGTGGGATGTGCCATGTCTGAGTGCCTGAGGTGAAGCCCATGAACTGACGCCTCGGAGGAAAACTGAGGAACTGGTGCCAAAGTTGGGGAAATGATTGTGGGGAAACGCAAAAAGACTTTGTCCACTGTGGATAAGACAACAATTTTTCTCAGAAATGACTATTGACTATGCTCAAGTCTTTTGGACTATTCAAGACCGCAGAACTTGATACTACAGAGTCTGGAAGCAAGAATTTGAACCTGAAAAAAAAAATGCAATAGCAAATGTTGCTGGTTACGTAACCATTAAAAGAATTTCCCGTTGAGCAGGAGTGTCCACACTGGCTTGTCCACACTGGCCCGGGGGCTGCCTGCTGATTTTGTGAGGACATTTTTTGCTTATCTGTGGTGTCAGATATGTGTGGGCCTTGTCTCCTCTCTCACTCTCTTGTGCTTATCAGCTTCCGTTAGTATTTGTGTCTTTAATGTGTGCCCCCAAGCAACTCTTTTTTCTTTCAATGTGCTGCTTAGGGAAAAAAAGGATGGACATCCCATCTAGAGCATTTATTTGCTTATTCACTATTTGTTGGTTGCCTACTAAGTATCAGGCATGGGTGGCGCCTGTGGCTCAGTGTGTAGAGCACTCGTCCGGTATACTGAAAGTGGCAGTTTTGAATCTGGCCCCTGCCAAACTGCAACAAAAAATAGCCGGGCGTTGTGACAGGCACCTGTAGTCCCAGCTACTGGGGAGGCTGAGACAAAAGAACTGCCTAAGCCTTTAGGAGCTGTGGAGGTTGCAATGGGCTGTGACGCCACCACACTCTACCAAGGGTGACAAAGTGAAACTCTGTCTTAAAAAAAAGTATCAGGCCTGGGAGGGGTATTGGCACCAAGAGGGACATTGGCACTGCAACAGTAAACAACAACAGTGAAAAGCAGAGTGATAGGGTCAGCTTTGAAGTAGGCTCATCTTCAGCATTGCTTGGGAATTATTTTTCATTATTTAAAAAAACTAAGTCATACATGCAGTGAAGTGCACAAACCTTAAACATATGGCTCTGAACAACTGAATCACAATCTCTGTGAGATTTTTCCTTTTTTTTTTTCAAAAAAATAGAAAACAGAGTTAATGACAGTCACTGTTTACTTGGCACTTTTTTTTTTTTTTTGAGACAGAGCCTCAAGCTATTCCCCTGGGTAGAGTGCCATGGCATCACAGCTCACAGCAACCTCCTACTCCTGGGCTCAAGCGAGTCTCCTGCCTCAGCCTCCCAAGTAGCTGGGACTACAGGCGCCTGCCACAACACCTGGCCATTTTTTGGTTGCAGCCGTCATTGTTGTTTGGCGGGCCCTGGCTGGGGATTCAAACCCGCCACGTTAGGTGTATGTGGCTGGCGTCTTAGCTGCTTGAGCTACAGGCGCCGAGCCTACTTGGCACTTTTTATAAGCAATGTCATGACGGTTATGGCAAGCAGATTTCATGCCCGTTTTATTCCAAGAAAAACAACCCAACTAGGATTTGAAAAGATGTGTTTGAGGGATAGTATCTCAAAACTAGGATTTAAAGGGTGGCGCCTGTGGCTCAAAGGAGTAGGGCACTGGCCTCATATGCCAGAGGTGGTGGGTTCAAACCCAGCCCCAGCCAAAAAACTGAAAAACAAACAAACAAACAAACAAACAAAAAACACTAGGATTTGAAAAGATATAAGGATGTCTGTCCTCAACAAGCTCAGAGAATCTGTGTCAATAGAGCATTGCTGAAGCTGGAATTAGAATTCTAGGCTATCAACTCTGAAGTCTGCTCTGAACCATCATATATGGATTATACTATCCCTCAAACATATCTTTTCAAATCCTAGTTTTCCCAAATCAAAAACCTAAATGGTCACATCTTTTGTAGATAAAGACCTGTTACTTACCTAACACATTTAACCACTTTCTATAAAGTCTTTGTCTGAAGGAAACTGGCAGCCTTACTATGTATACTTATACTGCTAATTAACCTTCCACTATTGGTATAATAAGAAATAACACTGCTCACATATAAAGAAAGCAGGTCAACGAAATGTGCACTCTGTGAGATTTTTCTTTTTTCTTTTTTTGGCTTGAAGAATATTTATTATTTTTATGTACAGAAAACTCAATAGTGTACATTTGGCCCGGTTTAGTGGCAAGTTCTTTAGCCTTTGCCTTTTCCAGCTTGCCAATGCGAGCCACAGATTTCGGACCCAGGATGTTGCCTCCCCAGTGATGGTGGATCTCGTGGTATCTGTGATTGTAATTGGTCCTGATAGCTTCCACCAGCTTAGCCAGAGCTCCTCTGTCTTCTGAGTTAACCTGCATGAAGGCCACAGTGGTGCAGCTCTTCCTGTGGACCAGACGCCCCAGCCTGGCCTTCCCCTTGATAATGCTGTAAGGGACCCCCATCTTCTGACACAGGACAGGCAGGAAGACAACCAGCTCAATGGGATCCACATCATGGGCCATCACCACCAGCTGAGCCTTCTTGCTCTCCACCAAGGTGGTGACCGTGTTAACCCCTGCTCTAAGGACAGGTGGTCTCTTAGTGGGGACATCCCTTTTGCCCTCAGCTTTCTTCTCAGTCTGGGCCAATAGTCGCTGCTTCTTCTCTTGCTTTGTTCCTGGTCTGTACTTGTGGCCCAGCTTAAGCAGCTGAGTAGCTGTTTGGCAGTCCAAGACCTGGGTGAACTGATTAATAGCAGGAGGTACTTTCAGCCGCTTGTAGAGGATGGATCTTTGCTGGTGCAACCAGATGTAGTGGGGCCATTTGACAAAGTGGGTGAGGTCCCTCTTGGGCTTGGATGTCCTGCCCAATGGCGAAGTTCTTTTTTTTTTTTGAGACAGAGCCTCAAGCTGTCCTCCTGGGTAGAGTGCTGTGGCATCACAGCTCACAGCAACCTCCAAGTCTTGGGCTCAAGTGAGTCTCCTGCCTCTGCCTCCCAAGTAGCTGGGACTACAGGTGCCCGCCACAATACCCGGCTGTATTTTTTGGTTGCAGCCATCATTGTTGTTTGGAGGGCCTAGGCTGGATTCGAACCTGCCAGCTTAGGTCTATGTGGCTGGTGCCTTAGCCACTTGAGCCACAGGTGCTGAGCCTAATGCCAAAGTTCTTTGGCCTTTTCTTGGACAGAGGGTTCACCACCTTCTTGGCCTTCTGCTTCTTCACCATTGTGGGAACCGGGACCACCTTCTTCCCCTTGGCCTTCTTTCCTTTTAGTATCTTGAGCTGCTGGCGCAGAGAGAGTCTGTGAGATTTTTCTCTGTGAATCCAGCACGGTTCTCCCTAGCGGGGAGGCAGGAACTCCATCAACCTCTAATGCCTCATGTTCCATTATTGGAACAGCAGTGCTGTGTAATTTGTATCCTACTGCTCAAGGTTGAAGGGGTTTGGGGTCACCAGATGAAGGGGGTTTGGCAGGAAGAATGAAGAGGGTTAACGCAGAGTCTGTGTTGAGGGACTGAGGAACTCAGGGATGAGCCCTCCCCCAGCAAACCTTGGTTCTGTATTTGTTATTATAAAACAGGAGGAAGTAGACAAGCTGCTTGTCTGACTTAGCACTGATTAGGGAGGGCGCGGAGAAATTGGATAGAAATCTCTGGATTGAAATCCAGAGAATCTTCATTGTCACACCTCACATATACATTCTTTCCTAGAGGTCAGTTTTCTGCCCTTCTGTACACACACACCCCTTACATGACATTCTCGTTCTCTCAAGTAGAAATTGAGCCTATTTTCAATGTCGGGGCCCAACTTTCTCTACACAAGGTCATCACTGAGGTTTGATTTTTCCCACCTGTCTGCCTCTGAAGGTACGTGTTATCACATGGTGCACAGAGTTACTGGTGTGATACTGCGCAGATACTGGGAGCTTGACAAAAGGGATGTGAATTTTCAGAAAATTTTTGAAGAACCATCTGAAGACAGGTAGATACAACTTTACTGCACTATGTCTTATGCTCGTTATTTTTTCCTATTATTTCTCTATTAGTTATGCATTGTGTTCTAAAAAGAAAATACCAAAATTATGATTATATTAGTTATGGGTTTGACATTTTGCACATTCCATTTTGGAGCATTAGCAAGACTTTTACTACTAGGACTAATAATATCTTTTTTTGAAATTCCTTTCCACTTTTATTTGTTTGGTTTTTTTCCTTAACTTTTTAAAAATTAAATCATGACTGTGTACATTAATGCATTTGTGGGGTACAATGTGCTGATTTTATATACAATTTGGAATGCTTACATCAAACTGGTTACCATAGTCTTTACCTCACTTGTTTAATTGTTATGTTAAGACATTTATACTCTACTCTTAATAGATTTGATGTGCACCCTTGCAATATGCACCATTGGTGAGGTCCCACCGATTATGCTCCCTCCACCTGGACTCCCCCCTCCTCTCCTTGCCCTCCTCTTTCCTCCTTTGTTCTGGGCTATAGTTGTGTTTTATTGAAGTGTGGCTGATTATATATATATATATATTGGTTTCATAATAGTACTGAGTACCCTGGATACTTTTTCTTTCATTCTTAAGATACTTTACTAAGAAGAATATGTTTCAGCTCCATCTATGTAAACATAAAAGAAGTAAAGTCTCCATCTTTTTTATGGCTGCATAATATTCCATGGTGTACATATACCACAATTTATTAACCCATTCATGGGTCGATGGACACTTGGGCTACATCCATGGCTTGGCAATTATGAATTGGGCTGCAATAAACATTCTGGTGCATATATCTTTGTTGTAAAATGATTTTTGGTCATCTGGATATATACCTAGTAGAGGAATTGCAGGATCAAATGCCAGGTCTACTTTTAGTTCAATAAGTATTCTCCAAACTTCTTTCCAAAAGGAATATTTTAGCTTGCATTCCCACCAGCAGTGCAGAAGTGTTCCCTTTTCTCCACATGCACACCAACATCTGTAGTTTTAGGATTTTTTTTTTCTCTGCAATTTTTTTGGCCAGGGCTGGATTTGAACCTACCACCTCTGGCGTATGGGGCCGGCGCCCTTCTCCTTTGAGCCACCGGTGCCGCCCTGTTTTGGGGTTTTGTTATGTGGGCTACTCTTACTGGAGTTAGATGATATCTCAAAGTGGTTTTGATTTGCATTTCTCTGATGATTAAGGATGATGAGCATTTTTTCATGTGTCTGTAGGCCACACACCTGTCTTCTTCAGAGTAGCTTCTGTTCAAGTCTCTTGCTCACAATGAAATGGGATCACTTGTTCTTTTCTTATTAATTGGTTTGAGTTCTTTGTGGATTCTAGTTATCAAACCTCTGTCAGAAACATAACCTGCAAATATCTTCTCCCATTCTGAGGGCTGTCTGCTTGCTTTACTTACTGTGTTCTTGGCTGTGCAAAAGCTGTTTAGTTTGATCGATCCCAGTAATATATTTTTGGTGTTGCTTTCAATGGCCAGGGGGTCCTCCTCATAAAATATTTTCCGAGTTCAATTTCTTCAAGTGTTTTCCCTGCACTCTCGCCAAGTATCCTTATAGTTTTATGTCTTAAGTTTAAATTTTTTATCCAGTGAGAATCAATTTTTGTTAATGGTGAAAGGTGTGGGTCCAGTTTTAGTCTTCTACAATTTGCCAGCCAATTCAACCAGCACCATTTGTTAAATGGGAAATCTTTCCTCCAATTTATGTTTTTGATAGGCTTACCAAATGGTGATAAGTGGCTGGGTTCATGTCTTCGTTCTCTATTCTGTTCCATACATCTACCCCTCTATTTTTGTGCTAGTACCATGCTGTTTTGGTCACTATAGATTTATAATATAGCCTGAAGTCTGGTAGCATGATTCCTCCTGATTTGTTTTATTCTGAGTATGGGAATAAGCTCCTCCTTGAAGGTTTGATAGAATTCTGGTGTGAAGCCATCTGGACCAGGGCATTTTTTTGTTGGAAGAGTTTTTTTTTTTTGAGACAGAGCCTCAGGCTGTTGCCTTGGGTAGAGAGCTGTGGCATCACAGCTCACAGCAACCTCCAACTCCTGGGCTCAAGCAAGTGTCCTGCCTCAGCCTCCCAAGTAGCTGGGACCACAGGCACCCACCACAATGCCTGGCTATTTTTAGTTGCAGCCGTCATTGTTGTTTGGCAGGCCCAGGCTGGATTCAAACCTGCCCTCTGAGGTGTATGTGGCTGGCACCTTAGCCACTTGAGCCACAGGCGCCAAGCCTTGTTGGAAGAGTTTTTATTGTTTCTTTAATCTCAGTGCTTGAAATTGGTCTGTTCAGGAGCTCTATTTCTTCCTGGCTAAGTCTAGGGAGAGGATGTGATTCCAAATATTGATCCATTTCCTTCACATTGTCAAATTTCTGGGCGTAGAGTTTCTGGTATTATTCAGAGATGATCTCTTATATCTCTGTGACATCAGTTGTTATTTCCCCTTTATCATTTCTGATTGAGGTTACTAGAGATTTTACTTTTCTATTTCTGGTTAGTCTGGCCAAAGGTTTATCCATTTTATTTATTTTTTCAAAAAACCAACTCCTTGTTTCATTAATTTTCTGAATGATTCTTTTGTTTTCAGCTGCATTGATCTCTGATTTAATTTTGGATAGTTCTTTTCTTCTGCTGGGTTTAGGCTTCTTCTTTTCCAATTCCATAAGATGGCTTGTGAGTTTATTGATGCGCTCTCTTTCTGTTTTTTGAATGTAGGCATCTAAACTTTTAAATTTTCCTCTCAGAACTGCTTTTGCAGTATCCCACAGGTTTTGGTAGCTTATGTCTTCATTGTTGTTATGCTCAAGGAAGTTAATGATTTCCTCTTTTATTTCTTTCTGCACCCAACTGTCATTCAACAGAAGGTTGTTTAGTTTCCATGCCTCTGTGTGGGATTGAACGTTTTTGTTGGAGTTGAGTTCCACCTTTAGTGCTTTGTGGACAAGGTAAAATTTCATTCTTTTGATTCTGTTGAGGTTTGTTTTGTGTCCTAGGATATGATCAATTTTCAAGGATGTTCCATGGGGCGATGAGATGAATGTATTCTTTATCTTTGCGATGGAGTGTTCTATGTAGATATCTACGTCTATCAAGCACAGTTGTTCTAGGGTCTCATTTAAGTTTCTTATATCTTTGTTTAATTTCTGTTTAGAGGATCTGTCCAGCTCTTTAAGAGTAGCGTTAAAGTCCCCTGTTATTATGGCGTTATAGGATATCATGTTGTTCAGACTGAGTAAGGTCTATTTCAAGAATCTGGGAGCATTTAAGTTGGGTGCATAAATATTTAGAATTGAAATGTCTTCTTGTATTTTTCCCTTGGCCAATATAAAGTGACCATCTTTGTCTTGTTTGACTTTAGTTGCTTTATCTATGTATCTGAAACATGTATCTGAAAATAAGATTGCAACCCCTCTTTTCTTCTGAATTCCGTTTGCCTAAAAAATTATCTTCCAACCCTTAACTCAGAGTTTTAATTTGTCTTTTGAAGGTAGGTGTGTTTCCTGCTGACAGCAAATGGATGGCTTATGTTTTTTAATCCATCAGCCAATCTGTGCCTCTTCAGTGGGGAATTCAAGCCATTAACATTTATTGAGATAACTGATAAGTGTGGTAGTGTTCTATTCATCTTATTTTGTGAGAGTCCATTGCTTAGTTTTATCTTTTGCATCATTGTGGAGGTTAGGTTCTATCCTTTAATTTCTGAGTTCTTACTTTGCTGTTGATCCATTGTGATGGTCAGTGTGTAGAACAGGTTGAAGTATTTCCTGTAGAGTTGGTCTTGTTGTGGCAGATTTCTCTGTCCATTTTATTTTCTTTTATTTTTTCTCTCTCCGTCAATTTTAAAGCTTAGCTTAGCAGGATATAGAATTCTGGGCTGTAAATTGTTCTGTTTAAGTAGATTAAAGGTAGATGACCATTGTGGTATTGCTTGAAAAGTTTCATTAGAGAAGTCTGCAGTCATCCTGATGGCTTTGCCCCTGTAGGTCAACTGGCGCTTACTCCTGGCAGCTTGAAGCATCTTTTCTTTTGTCTTGACTTTGGACAGGTTCATCACAATGTGTCTTGGAGAAGTTCTGTTAGATTTGAGGTGACCTGGGGTCCGATATCCCTCTGAAAGAAGTGTGTCAGAATCTTTGGTAATATTTGGGAAATTTTCATTTATAATATTCTCTGGTATGGCTTCCATTCCTATGGGGCATTCTTCTTCCCCGTCTGGGATACCTATAACTCATATGTTTGAACTCTTCATAAAGCTCCATAATTCTGTCCAGTGAATGTTCTGCTTTCTCTCTCTTTTTTCCCTGCCTCTTTACCTATCTGAGTCAGG